ACTTGAAAAGCATTTCTTCTTTAACAGCAGCTCTATCAGTACATCAGTCCTGCACCTTGCAGAAGTTGGTATGGGTTGGCACACTCTGTTTCCTTTGCATTTCTGGAATGGCACGGTGGGAATTCTGATCTGAACTAATGTCTCTGAAACAAATTGTCCAATGCTGTCAGTTGCTGAACGAGAGTAATTGAAAAGGTCAGGAAATCTGACTGTAATTAAGAAGATGAGGCTTAATTCTCATTTGTAACAGTGACGGCTCCATTTTATTAGTAATGGATGTCTTGTTGGACTGCAGCACTGTGGGTGAAAGAACTGCTTTTCCCTCAATTTTGCACCCACTTTGCAATTTGCATGAGGTGTGCAGTACGTTGAATGAAAGTACATTGAAATATAATGAAATACATTACTAAGCACAAGGATTTCCTTCTTCCAGTTGATCTGCGGATGCAGAATGGAGACCTGCATGTTCTTAGACTCAAAGATCCAAACTATACAGGAGTTTATTTTGAATGTCGTGAAATCCTCTCACAGTCTCTGGAAATTTAATTTTTGACTTGTTCCCAAGAAACGCATTGAGAAGCTGAACTCTGTAATGCTTGTCCCCATGGTGTCATTACTAATGAGCTGGAACAAATGGTTTGGTCATTTGTTCTAACAATCATGGCCAATTTGGCCATTATCATGATGCATCACACTTGGAAGCCTGAATCTCCAAATCTTCCATCAACTTTCAATTACTGAAGTACTTTGCGTGGCAAACACACAATTAGAGCATTTCACATTAAGAATCACTGATGGAACTAACTACAGTATTAGAATCCAGGAATAAGGGCAGGGAGGGGATGCAATTACAGTATGAGATCTTGTTCTTTTTCCAACACAAGTTTTGTATATCTCTTTGCCTGATTTTAAAGCTCTGATCAAAGCATTCTCTGCTTCTGTAATACGTTCTTTTACCACTGTGCAGCAAGCTCCCAAGGCTGAGGAATGTTTAACCCTAGACTTATGCTTTCATGTGTAGGGTTTTTTTTTCATACCTTATAGTATAGAAAGAATAAAAACTACAGAAATTTTTGGTGGATTAACCCTATAAGCTTGTTTTTTTAACTGCTGAATTTGACAAATTCTGCTTGCCCCATCCATAGACAACATGGATTTTGATCCCATGTTTGGTGTGCCCAGCTGAATGCAAACACACGCACAGAGAACTTTGTTGCTCTTTGAGGCGTTGCTTCATTCTTTACTTTCCTCCCACTACCTACTCACTCCCTGATAAAGCAAATATTTATCAAAAGAACATGAATAAAAGCATTAGTCACCAAGAAAGTTTGTTTTGATAGCATTATTCCCACATTAACTTGATTAAATTTCTCTCCCTTGTATGTTGAAATTCCTGTTTGGTTATCAGACGTGAACTGAAGTTATACAAGTATTCTTTTCATACGATAGTCAAGGTTTGCTTGTTTAAATGATTTTTACTGGATGGTGGTGTCAAATAGTGTATCAAATTCCTCATGTAATTTTCATCACATAGACTAAGGCTAACTTAAGAATATCTTACTGAGGTAAATTAGAATGTATTTTAAAATACTTGGCCTTATGAAATGAGCTGAGAAATAAGTTTTTTTGCAACAATATACATTTCTGTGCTGTAGGAATACGTTCCTTTTTCTGAATAAGCTTCTCTGTGCTGATAGGACCGATCTGACTGCAAGCGTAACAGCTGAGTGTCTAGAATCATTAAGAATCATAGAATCATTAAGGTCAGAAAAGACTTCTAAGATCATCTAGCTATCACAACCGTGCATGTGGGGAAAAGTTTGAAAGTCTTCATTTAGATCAAAATTATCTGAAACAAGACTGCATTGAGAGTGGATACCATTGTAAAATTTTGGGGTCGGGGAAGAGTTCTGCAAGAGAATGCAAGACAATGGCCTCAAGTTGCTCCAGGGGAGGTTCAGGTTGGATATTAGGAAAAGCTTCTTCAAAAGAGTAGGTAGGCACTGGCACAGTCTGCCCAGGGAGGTGCTGGAGTCACCATCCCCGGAGGCGCTGAAGAACAAGGTGGAGATGTGGCACTGAGGGACGTGGTTTAGTGGCCAGTATTGGTGGTAGGTGGATGGTTGGAGTAAATGATCTTAGAGGTCTTTTCCAACCATAATGATTCTATGATTCTATGATAATTTCAGATACATTACTGGGAGATTTATGGATTTCAAGTTACTGACACGAGCCAACTAGAAGTGTGTTCTCTCTTGCAATAAGATTAATTAGTTAAATGCTTTTTAGAAAGTAAGCTTTTATTTTTGGCCTCACCTGAGAGGATCAGCAAAATTCAATCCTTTCAACATATGGTGGAAATAATGAGAACACAGCCACTGTTGTATGTCTCCTTCACTAAATACTGCTGATTAATCTACTCTCGTGTGGCTTAGGAAAGCAGAAGCTCATGCTTCAATGCCATGGCAGTTTCTCGAAAGAAATTAATATATAAAGACATAATGAATACTGGAAATTTAATTTAACATTAGTTTTAAACCTATTAAAGGTTTTCATTTGGGCTTGTTCATGAATCCTGCTGTGAAAGGTTGTAATCTTGCAAACAACCATTTGAAAAGAAGGGGCAGGGCCAGCTTTCAACAGGAGGGCAACATCAATCTAATCTAATTTAAACTAATCTAACCATGCTTGTCACAACTTCATGTGTGTTTGTATTTATGTTCTGATATATTGCTTAGCAGCACAGATTTGTTACACTGGAGATAACACTGTCCATGTAGAGTTGCGTGGTGTAAAGCAAATGCATGCAATTTACTTTTATATTGAGTCTTACTTGTAGGCCTGGATGACCTCTTTCACCTTCTCTTCAGTTGATTAATGACTGTTCAATATCTTCACTAATGATCTGAATGATGGGTAGAGTGTACCCTCAGGAAGTTTGCAGATGATGCAGAACTGAGAAAGTGGCAGATTCACTGGAAGTTTATTCTGTTGTCAAAGGGACCTGGACAAGTTGGAGAAATGGTCTAATGGGAACTTCATGAAGTTCACCAAAGGGAAATACAACATTCTACACCTGTCGTGAAGGAATTTAGCAGCCCTTAAGTCCTCCAGGTGGGAAGCAGGTCTGGAGAAAAAGCCTTGGGAATCCTAGTGGACACCAAGTTGACCATGAGCTAGCCATGTGGCCTTGCCACTAAGAAGGCTAGCAGCATTCCTGGGTGCATCAGTCAAAGTATTGCCAACAATTTAAAGGAGGTAGTCTTTTTCCCCTGTTCAATCCAAGTGAAGGTGAGCCTGGGATACTGGGTCCAGTTCTAGGCTTCACAGTACAGGAGAGACCTGGATGTACTGAAGGGATTCCAGTGTAGGGCCACAAAGATGCTGAAGGGCCTGGAGTACCTCTTCTATGAAATAGCTGTCAGTGTTTAGCTGAGAAACTTTAAGGCTTAACAGACATTTCAACAAATTATGTAAATACTTAAATGGAGGATACAAAGAAGACAGACTGAGGCTCCTTCCAGTGGTGCTCAGTGCTAAGACAAGAGACAAATGGCACAACCTGGAAGACAAGAGGTTCCATCTAAGTATCAGAAAGCACCTCTGTGCTGTGTGGATCACAGAGAGCTGGCATAGGCTACCTAGAGATGTGTGCTGGAGTCTCCTCATTGGAGATCTTCAAAGCCAACTGGATGTGGTCCTGGAAACCAGCTCTGGTGACCCTGCTGGAGCAAGTGGATAAGAGCAGATGGCCTGCAAAGGTCCTTTCCAATCTCAACCATTCTGTGATTCTGTAACTAAGATGACAGCAATTTGTTGGCTTTCGGTCTGGATTCTCATTTTGTGAGAAGGGAATAGGACTCAATTACAACATTTGAGTTATGTGTGATTGGTAGAGGTGTGTGCACTGAACGATGTGGAGTTATAGGACAGGAGGCAATGACCTTTAGTTGTGCCAGGGGAAGGTTCAGGTTGCATATTGGGAAAAGTTTCCTCTCAGAAAGAGTGGTCGGGCACTGGAACAGATTGCCCAGGAAGGTGGTGGATTCACCATCCTTGGAGGTGTTCAAGAAAAGATTAGATGTGGTACTGAGTGACATGGTGTAGAGCAGTCACAGGCATGACTTGACAGTTGGACTAGATGGTCTTCCAACCTTAATGATGCCATGATTCTATGAAATGAGGAGGCCAGGCAAGGTCATAATCACATAAGAATACTCATGGAGGTGTCCCATGGTCATTGACTTTTGATATAAGATACAGTTGTAGTTTTAAAGGAGGAATCTCCATTCTGCTTCTCTTGTGGCCATATGTGAACACATTCTCTGAAGTCTCATGTGACTCCTTTTTGCATTGAGGAGAAAATCAGTAAACCAGATTGTGCCTGTGCAGCAAAATTGTTACTTCCAACAATGTCACTATTTTCAATGCATCTGATAGATATCATGGTGTCTGATCAAAAATTAGCATTACTTTTTGTTAGAAAAGATCATGCACATACTAGATGGAAGAAATGGCAGAAAAGCTGGTCTGTTCAGTAGCTGACACGTAAGCATGAGTGGTGCTGGAATTTTTTTCTATGATTTCTCTGAAGACTATCAGGCTTTTAGGAGTTGTTTTTCAGAAGACAAAATGCATATTGTATGAATGAATAGCAGAGTTGTTCCTGATGTCCTTTTGTTCTAGAAAATATCCTGTTAAATATTAAAAAAAAATGAAATAGAAGGAGTGGAAATTCCACTAAAGCTTAAACCAGTAAACAGTAGCTATTTGGGGAGTGATTAATCACACAAAAGCTGATGTATTGACTGCTTTTAACATATCAAGATCTGGTTATCTATGCCAGCCCAAAATTTCAGATACCAGATACTCTGGCATGTAGATATGGACTTGTTGTGGTCAATGAACAATTCTGTCAAGTGTTACCCACACCTACTGGATGATATAAAAGTTGAAGGTCTCTGGAGTTTTCTTGAGTTCCTATCCTCCACAGCCTCTTGTTGAAAGAAAAATGAAGGCATTTGTAAGTATACACATTTTTATTCAATTTATATTATAGTATGTTCATTTTAAAATTAAAATATAGAAAAGAAGATGTTCTGAGTAGTGGTGCAGTACTGGGACTCTCAGGATCTATGTATTTGGGGTTTTTTTTTGGTTGTTCATTGGGAAATCTCCCCGAAGTCAGTAAGAACATTATTTCAGTGGAGGATGTAGAATCTGATCACAGTTCAAAACAAGGATTTAGTAATGATTAAATAATTCCAATTGTGGAGACAAATTAAGAAGTAACCTGCCATGTGACTTTGAAAGATGCAAATAATGCCACTGTTGTTCTGCATTTTGACTATTGGAAGCAAAAAAAGCTAATATCAGTAATATTACAATGCAGAACTGTGATTGCTTTCAACTAGCACACGTTTGGAGAGGGTAGTATTTCAAAGTGACAGCATAGCTGCTCACCTCAGTTTATGAGCCGAATTTTTTGTCTCGCCTTGTTCACTCATATGGCACTGCTCAGTGTTTCTGTTGAGCGAAATGCTCATTCCTCTTGTTACAGGCTGCAATTTTCATTTTGCTGGGAGTCTTCTGGACTCAAACTTCTGCATTGGAGGTAAGTAAACTGGAAAGCCTACTGGTGCATGTACTTTAAAATGCATAAGATTGATGGGAAGGGAGGAATATAATAGGAAGAATGGAAGAAACTAAAATAATGCCTATTGCCAAGCACAGAATAAGTAGCTTTAATCAAAGATGACAAGAGGCGAAAAGACAAAGAGGCAGTTCTGCACAGCTGTATAGTAGCAAGAAATATAGGCAACATAGGTCCCCTTGGCTCAGCCTGAAGTTGAAAGACTCTTGCAGCCTTCTCTGCTGCCATGTACAACAACGTAGTATAAATATAATAATAAATATAACATAATTCTCCTTGGGCTGTGGCATGGGTCTGTCCCCTCCCCTCTCACCATGACTCAACCACTACCACAATTAGTCCTCACCTCAAGTGCCTCCTGAGATTCCTAGAGAGTTAGAGGGTTTCACATTTATATGAAGCAATCATTATTATTGGCATATATTCTCGGTTTATGCTGTGTCTTTAAAAGTGCAAACCAGATGAACAATGGTTTTATGCTTTTTGCCAAAGAGTTATCTCCTGCCGGGACCTAACAATGAATATGTCACTGGGTCTATGACCATTGACAACAAGAAGAACTATGCTGATGTCAGTGTCCGATCTGGCATGTACTCCTCTGACACCATTTTTGACTACCAGCACGTAAGTAAATCTAAGAATCTACCTAGAATCTAACAATCTCTATGAAGATGTTTGTAAATTCAGATAAGTTGTATTGGTGCTTTCATTGTGAATTGACCTGAAATGCAGTTTCTTTGAAGATTCCCCTCTCTTCTCCTCTTACGTAATTTCTTTTTCACACATATGATGATGCATTTTTATGAGACTTGTGATGACATGGTGGTCATTTGTGAAAGTGCGAAGGCTGTCACTGACCTCAGTGCAAGAGAGTCAAGAAATGGCTGCCATCACTTGTATATTGCAAATGGAGCAGGAATCCATGGGAACAGAGCACTCAACTCTTACAGACAGACGTTGAATTCTCTTTTATTCCCCATAGGTGAAAATGCAAAGAAGTCATTCTACAGTAGTCATTGTAACCACCTTATGTTTCTTCTAGATGGCCCTATAGAGGAGAAAGAATCAACAAGCATTAGTGGTAGCCATTTTTAGTGAATTACTTTTTATTTTATTTTATTTTATTTTATTTTATTTTATTTTATTTTATT